ACACACACACACACACACCTTATATGTGATTAAGAAAACCAATATGATAAGTGCTTTAATGCACATCTGAAAAATTGCAATGAGAAAGGAACCGGAAGTACCCACCAGGAAAGGTGGGTGGCAGGGCATGGGGTTGGTGAGGGAACGGGGCAGAGGAGACCTCCAGGAAGGTGATAAAGGGGCGGTCCTGAAGGACGAAGAGAAGGAGTGGAGGACACGTGGTCAGGGACGCGGAAGAGACAGGTGCTGGCCTTGAATAGGGTGGAAACTTTATTTCGTAGAAGGCGTGAGCTGATATGAGAGTACTGTCTAGAGACGGGGCTGACACAATTGTCTTAAAAGGCCAGACAGTACATGAGTTAGGCTTGCAGGCCATATGGTCTTTGGGGTAACGACTCAATTCTGCGATTGCAGCGCCAAAGCAGCTGTAGACAACATGGACGTAAGTGGTTCTGGCTGAGTTCTTGTAAAATGGTCTTTACAAAACCAGGTGGCTGGCCTGCTGCTTGAAGCTCGCTGACCGCTGCCGGGGTGACAGTTAAGAAGCAGCCCAGGTGGGGGGTGACAGAGGCCCAACTGAGGCAGAAAAAGTAGCAACAGGGCAGGGACACGATGGCGAGAGATTTTTAGGAGGCGAAATCCACGGGACATCATAACTGATTCCCTGAGGGAGGTGAAGAAGAGGGATATCAGAGATGATGCCGAGATCTCCAGACTGAGCACGCAGTAGTGCAATTAATGGATCGAGCAGAACTACAGCTGGAGGCATACATACTCCAATTCCGGGAAGACAACTGCCATTTCGGAAAGGACTCCTTTGCTCTTTTAAAGCTGAGGGAGTGGCCACAGTGCAGGGGTTCCTTGGAAGAACCGTGAGGCAAAAGACCAAGATCTGTAGTTCCTAGATCCAGTGAGAGGGCTCCGGCCCTGTTAAGATGCAGTAAGCACATCCTGCCCTATCTTTCCCGCTGACTGCAATGAGAGACCCGAGGCAGAATACGTAAAGCAGCCACTGGCCACGCTGAAGAGTAAGGGAGAGTAGGAAAATCGCTGCTCCAAGAACGGCCATCTGGGGCCAGCCTCTGTTTTCATTTTTTGCTTCTTGCCTCTCCTGGCTTAGCCTCCCAATGTCCTGGAACTGCACAAGGGAACAGCAGGAAAAACTCCCAGAAGAGCTCTAGTCAGAGGATGGGGAAGGGGGTCTTCTGTAGGACGGGGCACATCTGACTTTTCTGGCCTAGGAACTCGGAGTCCTAGGAACCACAGTACAAACCTGCAGCGGTGACTTGGGGGCAGTCACAGTGGCAGCAGCGGCTTCCACAACCTTTTTATTTTC